ATTGGTCTTTATCTTTCTGGTTTACTTCACTCTGTATAATGGGCTCCAGTTTCATCCATCTCATTAGAACTGATTCAAATGAATTCTTTTTAGTGGCTGAGTAATATTCCATGATGTATATGTACCATAGCTTCCTTATCCATTTGTCTGCTGACGGGCATCTAGGTTGCTTCCATGTCCTGGCTATAATAAACAGTGCTGTGATGAACATTGGGGTGCATGTGTCTCTTTCAGATCTGGTTTCCTCAGTGTGTATGCCCAGCAGTGGGATTGCTGGGTCATATGGCAGTTCTATTTCCAGGTTTTTAAGGAATCTCCACACTGTTCTCCATAGTGGCTGTACTAGTTTGCATTCCCACCAACAGTGTAAGAGGGTTCCCTTTTCTCCACATCCTCTCCAGCATTTATTGCTTGTAGACTTTTGGATAGCAGCCATCCTGACTGGCGTGTAATGGTACCTCATTGTGGTTTTGATTTGCATTTCTCTGATAATGATGTTGAGCATCTTTTCATGTGTTTGTTAGCCATCTGTGTGTCTTCTTTGGAGAAATGTCTATTTAGATCTTTGGCCCATTTTTTGATTGGGTCGTTTATTTTTCTGGAATTGAGCTGCAGGAGTTGCTTGTATGTTTTTGAGGTTAATCCTTTGTCTGTTGCTTCATTTGCTATTATTTTCTCCCATCCTGAGGGCTGTCTTTTCACCTTGCTTATAGCTTCCTTTGTTGTGCAAAAGCTTTTAAGTTTAATTAGGTCCCACTTGTTTATTTTTGCTTTTATTTCCAATATTCTGGGAGGTGGGTCATAGAGGATCCTGTTGTGATTTATGTCGGAGAGTGTTTTGCCTATGTTCTCCTCTAGGGTATTTACTAATAATTTTATAGTTTCACCTTTAAATTAAATTGACAATTGTGAATATTGTTTTATAAAGCTACACAAAAACAATAGCCTAATCCAAAATTCTCACTTTGTTATTTATGAAGGTGAAATCTCAAGATTCAGTTCAATTCAGTCACTCAGTCGTGGCTCTTTGCGACCCCGTGGACTTCAGCACGCCAGGCTTCCCTTTCCATCTCCAACTCCCAGAGTGGGCTCAAACTCATGTCCATCAAGTCAGTGGTGACATCCAACCATCTCATCCTCAGTTGTCCCCTTCTCCTTCTGCCTTCAATCTTTCCCAGCTTTAGGGTCTTTTCTAATGAGTCAGTTCTTCGCATCAGGTGACCAAAGTATTGGAGTTTCACCTTCAGCAGCAATCCTTCCAATGAATATTCAGGACTAGATTTCCTTTCAGATTGACTGGTTTGCTCTCCTTGCTGTCCTGGGACACTCAGAAGTCTTCTTCAACACCACAGTTCAAAAACATTAATTCTTCAGTGCTTGGCTTTCTTTATGGTCCAGTTCTCACAGTGATACATGACTACTGGAAAAACCATAGCCTTGACTAGACAGACCTTTGTTGGCAAAGTAATATCTCTGCTTTTTAATATGCTGTCTAGGTTGGTCTTAGCTTTTCTTCCAAGGATCAAGTGTCTGAATTTCATGGCTGCTGTCACCATCTGCAGTGATGTTGGAGCCCAAGAAAATAAAGTCTCTCACTGTTTCCACTGTTTCCCCATCCATTTGCCATGAAGTGATGGGACCAGATGCCATGATCTTAGTTTTCTGAATGTTGAGCTTTAAGCCAGGTTTTTAACTCTCCTCTTTCATTTTCATCAAGAGGTTCTTCAGTTCCTCTTCACTTTCTGCCATAAGGGTAGTGTCATCTGCATATCTGAGGTTATTGATCTTTCTCCTGGCAATCTTGATTCCAGTTTGTGCTTCATCTAGCCTGGCATTTTGCATGATGTACTCTGCATATAAATTAAATAAGCAGGCTGACAATATATAGCCTTGACGTAATCCTTTCCCAATTTGGAACCAGTCCATTGTACCATGTCCGGTTCTAACTGTTGCTTCTTGCTCTGCAAATAGATTTCTCAGGAGGCAGGTAAGGTGGTATGGTATTTCCATCTCTTTAAGAATTTTTCACAGTTTGTTGTGATCCACACAGTCAATGAAGCAAATGTTCTTTTGGAAATCTCTTGCTTTTTCTATGATCCAACAGATGTTGACAATTTGATCTCTGGTTCCTCTGCCTTTTGTAAATCCAACTTGAACATTTGAAAGTTCTCAGTTCATGTACTATTGAAGCTTAGCTTGGAGAATTTTGAGTATTACTTTGCTAGCATGTGAGATGAGTGCAACTGTGCAGTAGTTTTAATATTCTTTGGCATTGCCTTTCTTTGGGATTGGAATGAAAACTGACCTTTTCCAGTCCTGTGGCCACTGCCGAGCTTTCCAAATTTGCTGGCATATTGAGTGCAGCACTTTCATAGCATCATTTTTCAGGATTTGAAATAGCTCAACTGGAATTCCATCACCTCCATTAGCTTTCTTCATAGCGATGCTTTCTAAGGTCCACTTGACTTCCCACTCCAGGATATCTGGCTCTAGGTGAGTGATCACACCATCATGGTTATTTTGGTCATTAAGATCTTTTTTGTATAGTTGTTCTGTGTATTCTTGCCACCTCTTCTTAATATCTTCTGCTTCTGTTATATCCATACTGTTTCTGTCCTTTATTGTGCCCATCTTTGCATGAAATGTTCCCTTGGTACCTCTAATTTTCTTGGTAGGAAGATAGAAAAGTGAACGTGTTAGTCATTCAGTCATGTCCAACTCTTTGCAACCTCATGGACTATAGCTCACCAGGCTCCTCTGTCCACAGGATTCTCCAGGTTAGAATACTGGACTGGTCAGCCATTCCCTTCTCCCAGGGATCCTCCTGACCCAGGGATTGAACCTGTGTTTCCTGCATTGCAGGTGGATTCCTTACTGTCTGAGCCACCCAGTTAAATGGGAAGATAGAACACATTTTATTTATCAATTTGTCAATTGACTTATGATACCCAGGCCACACAAATGTTAGAGGTAAGCCTGTTCTTGCCTTTAATCAAGAATTCCCAATTTCGTGTTCAGCTCTATGTTACCCATATGACTTCTCACCAGACTTCTCTCTCTTCACTGCTATTCTGGAGTTTTCTTCAGAATTCTTGAAAGGACATAAAGATGGACTGAAGCAATAAAGCTTCTCCAGCCTTCACCCAGGACTTTATCTTCCATGTTCTTCTCTTTCTTCTAGCATTCATAAATTCACAAAGACATGAGCTCAATGCTTAGGGAAATGAAAGCTATGAAATTCTCACCAGAATTCTGCAGAACCTACTCCCAAATTTATCCTAGGATATGCGTCCAAGTGAAAAGTTTCTTTCTTGCCCTTCATCTTTGACTTTATGACCTATTCTAAAGCTATAAACGGTTTCTTATCAGGTATATAATACATATTCTGTGAACAAAGTAAATGTTATCTGAAGAGTGAGTCATTCTCTTAAAAAAAGAAAAACTACTCATGTGGGCTACAATTATTTGGTGAAAGTTTCTGGAACATTACTTTTTAACACTCCTCATATTTTTAGATCTTTGCTTTAAGGTCTAAATTTAAGTTAAACAGCCCTTTGAACTTTATTTAGAATAAACTACTCTTCTATCACTATTTTAGGAATTCCAGGATCTAGCTTGGGAAGGAGGCTATTTCATCAGTCCATGCTCTAAAGTCTGTAGGGATCTGTCTCTCAAGATGCGTCATACCCGTGTGAGTTGCTATTAATAATAATTTTTCATGATTAGGAAAAAAATTAGGTAGTCCTTTGACTGTCAGGTTGTTATCCTAATGAAAAGCTGTCAAGATAATTTTGTTTTACTCTGAAACGTCTCCATCAATTAACTTCAGCTGATTGCCAGAACATTAACCTTGGTTTGCCTTTCAGATCTGCTGTTCCCAGAATGTGTAAATAAAGATAGGGTATCAAATATCTCACTATTTGAAGTTGATTTGTTGGACTTTTTCCAAGCTATGTAAATAAGTCTATTTTCCTAATCATTTAAATATTTTTCCTGGAATTAAGAACATATACCTGAAAGTACCAAATGAACTCTAAATCTTATGGCAGGTGCAGGTCTTATTCGGGTTTTTTAATGTCCATAGAACTGCTGCTGCTAAGACGCTTCAGTCATGTCTGACTCTCTGCGACCCCATAGACAACAGCCCACCAGGCTCCCCCGTCCCTGGGATTCTCCAGGCAGGAACTCTGGAGTGGGTTGCCATTTCCTTCTCCAATGCATGAAAGTGAAAAGTGAAAGTGAAGTCGCTCAGTCGTGTCCAACTCTTAGTGATCCCATGGATGGCAGCCAACTACTACTCTAATATCATATGAAGTTGTAAGATAATTGACATCCATTGTTATGATCAGTGCTGGAAGTGACACATATGGGATCTCCTTGACAGTACTGGTAATTGCAGTCTCCCCAGGAAGGTCATACTGATGGTTCACACAAGTGAGGCAGGTTCAGACAACGGGAGATAGCAGACTATATCAACTTTTTAACAGACCCAAGAGAACAAAGTTTACAAAGATAAAGTGAGCAAACTAGAGGTTACCACTGATGGAGGGTAAATATCTCACTGAGGGCTGGGGGTGGGGGGGATGTGGGAGGTCCAAACCACTGGGAGTAAGACAAGCTCAAGGACATATTGTACAACACAGGGTATATAGCCTATATTTTGTAATAGCTGAAAATAGAAAGTAACATTTTAAAATTGCATTAAAAATTTTAAATTGTATTTTTAAAAGAGAACAGAATTTAAGTTCTTGGTAATATCCTTGGAACCCCCATTCCCACCCTACTTTTGTTCATAAGTTCCCTTCTTGTAAATCTCTATTCCCTATAGGAGCCAGAAAATATTGGGGGTGTTAATACATAGAATAATGATTCACAGATTTCTTCCCACAAAGATAAATTCTTAGTACTTGGATTTCATTTGGGTAAAAGACAGACATTGCATTGTAATTAAAGTTAAACTTCTCTACTTCTGTTCAGAAAACTTATACATTGATTAGGCTTCAAGGAATTCCTCCTGAACTTAAATGTAAGCTCTTCATGACATGAATAATACCTAACATATAATTGCACCCCCCAAATATCCAGCTCAGTAGCAGATATCCAATAATTGTTTGTTGATTGAGAGAATAAATGAATGCACTTCTGTTTATGAAGGGTTTCCCAGTGGCTTGGCTGTAAAGAATTCGCTTGCAATGCAGGAGCTGCCACGAGAACCCAGGTTTGATCTCCAGTTTGGGAAGGTCCCCTGGAGGAGGGGAGTCATGGCAACTCACTCCAGTATCTTGCCTGAAGAATCCCATGGCCAGAGAAGCCTAGTGGGCTACAGTTCATAGGGTTGTAAAGAGTTGGACATGACCAAAACTAAGCACTCACTGTTTCTGATAAAATATTTGGCCAAGTAGTCAACTGAAACCAACTAAAAAGATAGGAAAGTAATTTTTAAGCCTTCTTAGTTGCATTGAAGACCTTAGGAGATTATAGGAACTTTTCAGGCCGAATTCTTCCTGTAGGAGAAAAACATAGAAGTTTCTTCTTATAGGAGAAAGCTACTTTCTCATGAGAACATTTGCTAACCTGGCAAACTTAAAGTTCAGGTTTCATGGCCTCATTGGTACAGGAACAGAAAAACATGCTAAGAACTGACAAGTGGGCAGTTGAACAGGAGACCTTCTTCTCATAAAGCTAGATCTCAGTTTAAATCCGAACCAGATGTAAACCACTTTTTCTTCCAGTATGAGGACACAAGGAAAGTTACTTTGGTGCTGAACAAAAGATAGAGAATTGTCCTGAGAAGTTATATATATGTATATAAGTTGGTTATTATGCAGCTTTGTAACTGTATTTAAAGTCACCAGGGAATTATAACAAATGTACCCTATTAGTATGAGATGTTGAGGGTGGGGACGCCTATGTATAGGGAAAGATCGGAGTATGGGACAGTCTATTTCACACTCGGTTTTGCTATAAACCTAAGAATTCTCTAAAAAATAAAGCCTATTATTTTTTAAAAGCTAACTAAGATGAGTCCTCAAAAACCTGAAACTAATGTTTTATTTTAAAAAGGTTCTAGAATGGGACTTCCCTGGAGGTCCAGTGGTTAAGACTCCATGCTTCCATTGTAAGGAGCACAGGTTCAAATTCCTGGTCAGGGAACTAAGATCTCACATGGTGCAGCCAAAGGTGGGGATGGGGGGAGGAGGTGGGGAGAAAAGGGTTCCAGACTGCTAATGCTCCATGCTTTACAAGCAAATGCAAGTCTTCAGTGAAAAAAATGCACCTTCATTCTACACATCAAAAGTTCCCAAAACACTTTTGTGAGGATTATACACAGAGCCAAAAATCAAAAATACTCAAGGAAACAAAACTTCATGAGTTTCATGAGTAAAATCCAGCAGGAATGAAGCCTTTAAAATGTCAAATATTAAAATAATATTGCTTGCAATTCAAAATAAGTAAAAAACATGCTGAAAAATAGTTTCAAGAAATATGAAATTATGGTGTAAGAGATTTGAATGGCAATGAAATATTACTTTTAGAAATTATAAATATAATAATTGCAATAGAAAACCCTCTCTATGGATTTATCAGCAGATTAGATACATCTGAACAAGGATATCGTGAACTGAAAAGCAGACCAAAGGAAATGCTTCAAAATTCAGCACAGGAATAAAGAGAGAGACAGAGATGAAGAACAGCTAAGAGACAGAGAAGATAGAGAAAGAAAGTGAAACATATGTTTAACTGAAGTTCCAGAAAGAGGAAGAAGGAAGAAATTGAGGCAAGAGTGAAGAGGATATCTTCCGCAACTGATAGAAGACATCAATTTGTAGATCTATGAACTTTAAACCACTACAATATTGTAAAGTAATTAGCCTCCAACTAATAAAAATAATTGAAAAAAAAAAAACTCCCAAACAGGAAAACTATTTTTTAAAAACTCATATCTAGTCATATCACAGAGAAACTGCCAAACAAAAGCCACTGGAAGATTTAAGCCAACCAGGGAGAAAAAGATGATTACCATCAAAGGAACAACATTTAGACTAATAACCACAATGGTAGTCATAGGAAGCCCACAGGATCAGAGCCCACATAAGTGAGCCTGCCATTTTGTCTTTAGCCTTATTTCAGAATATTTTCCTCATTGTCTTTATTCCAGTCAATCTGGATTCCCACTGTCCTTGAATGCACCAGAGTTGCTGCTTGCTGCCTCAGAGCACACTTCCATGGTAACTCAAATGGTAAAGAATCTGCCTGCAATGCAGGAGACCCAGGTTCGATCTGAGGGCAGGGAAGATCTCCTGGAGTAGGAAATGGCAACCCACTCCAGTATTCTTGTCTGGAGAATTCCATGGACAGAGGACCCTGGCGGGCTATAGTCCAGGGGTCGCAAAGAATCTGGCAGGACTGAGTGACTAACACTTTCACTTTCAAAGCATTTAAAAGTTATGCCCACTCTACTTAGAATTCTGTTTCTTCAGAAATACTCATGACTCTCTCCCTCATCTCCTTTAAGTCATTACTCAAAAGGTTTTCAAAAAGACCTGATTGAGAAGAGGTATTCAGGAGGACAACTTCTAATCAACAAGTAATGTTATATTCCTCTTATTACTTAGGTATTTGATCTATAATCATTCTTTAAAACTATTACATATAGTTATAAACCTCTCGGTGTATTTCAACACTTCTAAGATGAAAAAAAAATAAATGAATGGATGAACTCACAAAAAAATGAACAATGACTGTTGATTAGAAATCATCTTTTCCAGACATCTCTTACCTTGGGATTCATATGACATTGATGCTTACTTTTGGGGAAGTTACTTGAGCCAGATGCCATCCCTAGTGAAATTGCTAGTAGTCCTATGTTGCTTAAAAGAATACGAAGTTTTTCTTTTAAAAACTAGCAATAGCCATTCTTAGAATCTCATTCAATAACATTTTTAAATAATTATTTTTTTCCTTTTAAAAGCTTTTTATCTTCAAAGCTCCTGCTAAAGCTTTGGATTTTGTTTGCTTTGTTGTTGTTGTTGTTCCTAAGCCAGGCAATCTGCCTAAAACTGTATTTCATTTGAAAGTTCCACACTGTTGTCAGAAGCTAGCTGCCTGCCCACTGTTTGTAGCATGATATTGGTATAGCTGAGGATTAGCCAACTAAAGTAATAGTTATAATTATTTATGTTGTATTTAATTCCTGCTCCTTTCCCAAGCTTGTGGACAAGCTTTGGACTTCTTTTATGTCCCCTGCATTGGCAGGAGGGTTCTTTACCTCTAGTGCCACATGGGAAGCCAGAACTAAACCTGCCCATGGTTAAATCTTACCTTTGTCATTTACTGACTGTATAGCCTGGAGGAATTCTATTAATACCTCTGAACCTCTGTTCCTTTGACTTTGTAAGGCAGATATAAAGATTTGAAATAAGATAAGGTAAGATACCTCTCACCTGTATCTGATGCACATTAGACATTCACTGAACGGAAACAGTAACTATATCAGAATTGAACTGAGCTAAACAGAAGACATTGATTTGGCTGATTCCGAGCTGAAGAATATGAGAATGGGAGTAAAAGAGTCTAGGAAGAGACTAGAATCCATTTCTTTGTACAAATGCTTTCTTCAAAATGTAAGTAGGATTTAGGTCATTAGCCAGCTTTTGTGGATGGTAAGCAATGCCTGCCATCATAGGTACACAAGAGCTAAGTTAGGAATGCAGAGTTCTCAAGAGACCATCAGGCAAACAGCCTTTCAAATAAAGCTCAAGGCCTCTAGGGACATCTATCTTTATTTAGCACCCTTCTGAAAGGCTTTATGTGTTATCTTGGTTCCAACCTGCACCTGTATCTGGCCCCTGGGGTCTTAAAAATATCCTATGTCCCCCATGAAGTCTTCATTAGCTCTTTTAGCCTAATTCTCTTTCTGACTCCAACAGCACCTCATGATTACTGTACAGTTTCCTAGGGACCCAAAGTCCCCTCAAATGAGGTTCCTGAGGCCATAGTTCTCTCAGTCATTAGAAGTTCCTCATCTTTTGGTCCTATATTAGCCCTTTACTCTATGTAACTCCACATGTGTGTGGAGTTACACACCGATGCTGGCCTCTCTTCTCTTCCATCAACTTAACCTCAGAGCAAATCTAGTCTTGGAATGAACAAGATGGAATATAAGCATTCATGGCAATTGTAGGTCTCTCTACAAATTGTGCTCATTTTTCATTGTCTTAGTTTTTGCCTGAGTTTTTGAAAAAAAAAATCTAATTTTTACATTTTCTTAGGAGAAACAGGACTATGAATTACGTCTCACAAATTACAAAGTTAATTATATATCCTATCATTTTATGTGTTCTTGCAACAGCTTTCTTCCAACAGTTCCCTTCCTCTCTCCCCATACTCCATTTTGTGCATTCATCATGGAATGCTTACTTTGCATTATTATGAAGGACTTGTCATATTTTAATATGATTAGGTCTCTCTCTTACAATATTTTACTTATCTAGAGTAGGACCCAATACAAACTTAGTTCTGTTTGTGAAGAATCTAGTAGATTTCCACACGAGGAAGAAAAAGGTAATGATTTAAAAGCTCTGATAAGCAAAAGAATGTTCCCTCTGCAACAAAGAAAATGACTTATTTCTTTTTAAAAATATCTTTTCTTTTTATAAAAAATTTATTTACTCGTTTTTGACAGCACCGGATCTTCGCTGCTTTCTGCATGGACTTTAGTTGCAGTGAGCAGGGGCTACTCTTCATTGCAGTTTGTGGCTTCTCACTTCAGCGTCTTCTCTTGTTCTGGAGCACAGGCCCTAGGCGCATGGGCTTCCGTAGTTACGGCACACAGGCTCAGTAGTTGCCCATCATGGGCACTAGAGCTTGGGCTCAGTAGTTGTGGCACACAGGCTTAGTTGCTCCTTGGCATGTGGCATCTTCCTGGACAAAGGAGCAAACCCATGTCCCCTGCACTGGCAGGTGAATTCTAATCCACTGTGCTACTAGGGAAATCTGTGACTTATTTCTGAAATTGCCTAATTGAAGCAACTGATAAGCCAATTAATATTTTTTCCTCTTCATTCTACTACACACAAAAATTTTTTCCATATGGATTTGAGAGAGTGATTTTCTCTCCTGGCCCTTTCCATTCCCCCACCTCCAAACAGATTTTTTTTCTTTTCAGCCTAATGAGAGGGGGCACTATGTTTGCCCCTCATACTGCCACAGAGGCCTTGTCTTAATTTTGTGTTGTCTTTATGTCATTTCCATAGTAGAACTCCAATAAAACAGATTTCTAAGTGAACACACAATTTAA